ACCTATGTCCCCTTCCCCCACTTTAATATTCTTTTGTCACAGCATCCATTACACAGACTATAAAACTCTTAGCCTATTTATGTCTCTCCTTCTCACTAGATCTTAAATTCCTTGTTTGCTCAATTAATGATTTTGACAGAAATGGAATGGAATAGAATTTTTAAAAAATGGAGTCAGAGGAGTTCAAAACCCAATTGAGTCAAATGTATGAAAGATGATATGTCATGAGCTCTGTAATGTTTTGAACAATCAATAAAATAAATAAATAAATAAATGGAGTCAGAGACACCAGTTAAGAGGCTTTTGTTATAGTCTAGCAGAAGGGAATATAAGTTTTAATTTATATGGTACTATTATAAAAGAAAGAAAGGGACTAATACAAAATGGCATTTTAAATGTATACTTAATAAGGAAATTGCCGATGCCACTTAGGCCCTGAAAGAGCCCAGAGATGTGATTTTGAACAAATGATCTGAAACTTTAGGCAACTGGAAAAATGAGGGAGTAGCTAGGAAGAGACAGAATAATTGTAACATCTGAAGGCTGCAAGGAGTCCTATATTGTTTTTATCACCAGGCCTAGATAAACTTGACATCTATGTCCTTAGCAAATGTTCGAATTGCATAAATTAGCTCCTCCTTGAATAGAAAACATGACCTTAAAAAAAAACTGATATACAATCTGCTTTTGGAATTATGTCCTTAGTAATGTAAAATAATTAAAAATATATATCTGGCTAGAGACATGTCAGGATCTTTTCCAAAGGATTATCATTTTATGATAGGGTATATTTCTTGCTCTCAAAGTATATTTTTGTAAAACAGAAATAAATCTTTGAGATGGCTTTACAGATTGAAAAAAAATTACCAAAGAACATTGTGAAGAATATGGGGAATGGGAGATGGGGAGATAGTGTACCTACTCTCTGTTTCATGATAATTTGTACATTATACATTAGTTGTATGTATAAAGAATATTGTGAACACTAACCAGTGGAATTATGATTGTGACCAGCTTCCCTGAAGCACTTCTTATCCAGCCTTGAAAGTTAGGAAGGGGAAAACAGAAGGCTAGACTATGGCATATTCTTAAGTTTTCCCCCGGTACAGGTCATGATGTAATGAGGGGACAGTTTCATTTATTTTCTTTACAGAGAACAAAGGAGAACAGAAGAACTTTGCCCAATTACTGATATGGAACAGGTGCCAACAGGAGGTAGACTGGTGCAGATCACTGTGACAGATGGATATGATTTGGTAAAGTTTCTTTTGGAAATGTGCAAAGTCCCTAGTTGGGGAGTATCAAAGGAGGAATGGAGTTTTTTTTTTTTTTTAAGATGTTGATGAAACTTTATTTTATTCATTTATTTATATGCGGTGCTGAGAATTGTACCAAGTGCCTCACATATGCTAGGCAAGTGCTCTACCACAGAGCCACAACCCTAGCTCAGGAATGGAGTTTTTGTGTCATTTTGTACCTCCAAACTCCCTCTCTTTGCATAGCAATTTCATCCTCGGTGTTTCTTATTTGTAATCTATAATCAGCAAGTCACATTACATTACTATGTGTCTAAAATAC